AATCCTGTGATGGAATTTATCTATCATAACTTCTTTTTCAGTACCGTTGCTGTGTGTGTGTGTGTGTGTGTGTGTGTGTGTGTGTGTGTGTGTGTGAGAGAGAGAGAGAGAAAGAGAGAGAGAGAGAGAGGGAGGGAGGGGAAGTTTCACCCAATATACACGTAACAATAGATACATAATAAAACACTAAAAAGGCAGTTTTGTATAGAGCTATCAGAGACTTAAAATGACATTATAAAATTAAATAAAATAAATAATAATTTTAATAAATTAAAAAAATATGAGAGCCCAACTTAACAGAGACTTCATCTACGGGTCTTCAGAAGACGCGTTAAGTTGGACACCTGAAAAGATATTTTTATTTCTTTTTTTCTTTACATATTAAGATAAAACAATTACCTGAAAAGATGAGGGCAATTATCCCCAAGGGCAGATTACAACACAACAACACAAAGATGGACAGCCACAAGTAGCTTTGCGGCTTGGGTTGGGGAATGACGTACACAGTATTGCCTGCTGGAGAGGGCTGTGTCACAATCACCTAAAAGATAAAATGGTTTGACAAATTTGGTGTAATTAAATCAATGTATGGCAATGCCAGAACAGACATTTCCATTAGTTTTTCTATTAAAAACATGGATGAAATGTCGAATGGTGATGAAAGCAGAGGGTGCTCCCTCCGGTAGCGTGGGTTATTTAATGTATTCGACGTCCGACACGCACACACACACACACACACACACACTTATAATATAGAGCGTGTTTTCTGAACAGATGCGCCTAAAATTGCCAAAGGAATACCCATTAAAAACCTGCCCTTGGGATGCTGGGTTGTATGAAGGCGGAGGACCTTGGTCGTACCCATACTGTGGGTTTTGCTGTGGAAAGACCTCCGGGTACGCTTTCTGGATGGGTGTCAAGCTATAGACCTAAAACAGAAAGAAGCCAGATATTATGGTGAAAACGGAACGCCTTGTTGCCGAAAACAAGAAGTGAGTTTTTTTCTTTTTTTGTGTGTGTTGAAGAAAATGAAATAACAGGAACAGAAAGTGCTATTAAAATTACATTGAAAAAAATATATACATGTATATAAGAACTGTGCGATACGAACACGAAAAATTAATTTAAATCTTTACCGTTCACCACACACACACAATCACACACACACACACACACACACACATATATATATATATATATATATATATATATATATATATATATATATATATATATATATATATATATATATGCTAGTTACCTTTGCTTTCATCACACACACACTTTTAATGAAGCAAGTTTCTGAGCAGATGTGTTTGAAATTCCCCTTTACAAACCTGCGCTTGAGATATTGAGGGCTGAGGTCCTTGGTTGTACCCATACTGTGGGTCTTCCTGTGGATAGGCCTCCGGACACGCTTTCTGGGTGTTTGCCATGGTGGAGATCTGAGACAGAAAGAAGTCAGTGATATAATGATATAACTGAAACACACATCCCCTCAACACTAGTTTTTTAATATTACATTTGCATTGAAGGAAATGATAGGAATGAAAGTAGAAGTAATAAGCGTAAATTTCAGGAATGTCATTTTCTTAGCGTCATGGCCGCTGCTAGGTTGACTTGCATTAGAGACCTCTCTTGATTGAAATTTCCACACTTACATTTATTATTAGCCCTACAGTATTGATTTTGTGCCCCCCCCCCCACCTCCCATCCCACCTCTACCTCTTGTGGAGCAAGCCCTGAAACTCTGTGCTATGGACCATTGCCCAGAAACGCTCTAGAAATTCAAAGATAGTTGTAGTAGGGAAACACTTAATAGAAATATCTTTTTTTCAAATACGTTCTTATACCTTTTTGTCTTTAAATTGAGGAACCCCTTAACCCGGCACAAAGATTATTTTCTCTCGATGTACTTTCTATATTTTATATATTTTAAGCAGTTTGACCACGTCACATGCATTGCATAAGTTAACCATACCAGCTTTTAAATATAATTAATACTTTTAGTGCCAGTGTTTATTTCAACTTAAATGAATGCCTAAGATGCTGCAGTAGTTTGACCCAGTTTGTTGTTGCAGTCAGTTAATTTCGACGACACAAATACATGTACCCTGGATATATACAATGTGGCACTGGTTTTTGTATTATCATATAATGTTCGTGGACTTAATTTGCCTTCAGATAAAATAAGGTCGTTCTGCAGATGATGTCATATTCAGTATCAGCGGTTTGGGACTAAATGTGTTATTTTCTGTTTCTTTATTTACTTTATTTCCTAGGCTGGTACTACAAGTATTAAATATTAAATATAAATATTTAATAAGTGGTATGGTTCTTGTATGCAATGCATGGGACTAGGTCAAACTGTTTAAAATATTTAAAATATAGAGGACATAGCAGAATTTGTTTAACGGTGGCCATAAGATGACATGTGTGTAAATGTTTTAACATTTAACATTAAAATCAATTTAGTCACTGAACACTGAAGATTTATTTATTGCCCAAAAGAAGGTATGTAAGGCAGTAAATAAGTTTTGGGCGAAGGGTGACAATATCGTTAAGTGAAAAATTCAGCAAGATGGCAAAGTATTAATCCTTCCTACGCCTATAAATAATCGTACTTTAATAGTTTTCCAAGAAGAACGCTGATTATTTATGATGTTAAACAAATTCAAATCACGATCCTTCTGTGCTTTGCAGTGTCTTGTATGCATATGATAAGGCAAACTGTCAGTGTGCACACCCATTTCTTTATTCTAATGTCTGCTATCTCCAAGGGCGACGCATTTCGACTTCATCAGCATTTCCAAGTGGCATTTTTCATCAAGTATTACATGAAAACAACATTTTTTTTACAAAAGGAACGAATTCGCGAATACTTATTAACTACACAGCGAATATTATTCATTCAATTTTTTTATTCGCGCTGGTAATTTTGTTTTTACTCTGGTACCATATAATATTCCCGACTAGTAGATAGGTTGTCATTTCACACATAGGTTTATTGTTGACTTATCATTTCAGATTTTCTTCTGTCTTCAGCAACGGACTGATGTGTCCATCAGAATTATCTTTATAAACTACACAACACTATAGCCTAGTCTGAAATATTACAAATGTTTCATCACCGTAAAGATCATTACTGAAAAGGCCTGGTTAATTAAAGGCCGTAAGAGGTCGATGTGCTTTTCAATCAAAAGTAATAAATATTTCGCAGAGAAATGCTTGCGTAAGAAAAATCTTTCAGCTCGTACAAATAATTTTTAGATATCTTTTCCTTTGCTCCGTATAACCCTTGCCTCCACACCCACCTCCAATACCCCCTGTGCCGCTATTTCCCCCTAAAAAACTGACCCTGTTCAACGGCAATTTGAAAGTTATGTTATCTCTGAATTAACGGAGTGGCAGCAAAAAGCAGTAGTATATGTGTCCACCAATCTGCCCAAGCCGCCAAACTTTTGGTTTGTTTTGGGGTATGTCTTACTTAACAACAGCTAGAAAGACGGACAAGCTGTTAGAGAAAATGCAATGGAAAACTGAAATATTTACTGAGGCTAAAGAAGAGGAGGATATAGAATACCCTGGAACGTGTGCACCACTATTTCACAGTGAATTCTGCCGCGTTACATAATTTAGAAGCACACGTTCCCTACCTGAA